TTATAAATCTCGGGCATAAAATGATGAGCATATAAAAATGAACCAATTATTTTCTATGGTGAAATGAAACAAATAATGTATCTGGTTAGGGATTTTTTGTCATTTAATTTTTATCATTCATGGCTACGGAAAGACAACATTTTTAATACATCGAATTATCAGACAATTATGTCGAGGTAGAACATACTGATAGTTCGAAATATTAAAAATAAAATTATCTTTCCGTAGGCATGAATAAAAAAATTGACTAAATTGAATCAGGCTACTCAAAAATGTATAAAACTAAAAATTTCTAAGCACATATACTATTTGTCTCATCTCACAATACATATGTATGAAATAATTGTGTGGGTTTTCTACGCTTTTCATTTTTTTTACCCGATATTAAAAAGTGCCATTTTTTGGGACATTTTTTACTACTTTTCTATTCGGCTGAATAATATTTAAACTATCAAAAAGTGAAACAGCCTGCCATACGTGCGAGCGTTATCAAATTTTTTTTTTAATCAGACCACGGCACGTTAAAACAAAAAATGAAATGGAGAAATGTATCTATGTTAGAAATGCAAAAGCGTTAAGCGGAAACGAGATTTTTTTCAACTGCTGTCAATTTTTCTCTTACATCTTCATGAGAGTCCGTATCGCAACAAGTGAGGTTGCGCATTTCCACCAGCTATGGATCATCATGTATGAAGAACATGCATTGGGCGCGTTGAAAACGATACAGCTTCGTAATCGTAAGGTGCCGCGTTCGCGTCTAGAGAGGAAAACTTTTTTTTTCTTTATTTCTTTTTTGTTTAATTTTTTTTAGAGGCCATTCTAACGGCTCAAAAAAATAAAAAATTGTGGTCGATTATTATTGAAAAATAGCATATGTAATATAAAGTCTATTTAGATGAATTTATTGTACACTGAACGTCATTAATGTTGTCCAGCTTGTTGATGCAGTGCGGTGAGATAAGAGAAAAGAGTGGACAGTGACTGTTTGACGGACGTATGTACCAGGATAAGTGCGTGAAAAACATTTTCAAAAACTCACCGATGATACAAAAAAAATAATACATGAACACTGTGAGAGTTTAGCGCACACTAAGTCTCACTACCGACGTGAACAAACATCGCTAAATTACTCTAAAGATTCTAGTTTGAATTTGTCAAAATTGTTAAAATTGTTTATACAGTTTTATAAGTCAAAGAACCCTAACAAAAAATGCCCCATCAAAGAATCAACGTACTGTAAATATTTTAACCATTTTGTAAATTTTACATTACATATGCCACGAACAGATATTTGTAATGATTGTTTTACTTATGAACAAATGAATGCGCGAGAGACCGATGAAGCACGTAAACATTATCAAAAAGTGATTAATTA